TGAATGAGTAAGAACTTTTTCTGCAGCGGGTCTATTCATATGAAAAATTTGTTCACTATTAAGTGTCAAATCAATTGATTGTTTATGTTTTTTAAAACAATATTTTATTTTAAATAGTAATAAAGATTAGCATGCTAAGATAAACTTGTGTCAGAAACCGCTCGTTATTATATTAAAAATTGGAAGTTGATGGAAGAGAAAAGATGAGGTTTAAGAAAAAATAAAAAATAAAAATAATTTTTGGGCATCAATACTGCTCAGGCAGTGCTAAATCAGGTCTGGGTTCATCCCTACTCACACACACATACATACACACACACACACACACACACACATATATATAATATATATATATATATATATATATATATATATATATATATATATATATATATATATATATATATATATATATATATATATATATATATATATATATATATATATTTCAACATCTTTGCTTCCTACAAGACTGCAAGCAACCACTATTAGATTTGGAAGTTAATGGAATAGAAAAGATGAAGATTGTAGAGCAAGATAACGATTGACAGACGGCTTAAAAGATTGGAAATTATGAGTCAAGAAAGCAAGATGGAGGAAGCAAATTTCATAGAACTGATGTTTGAGGGGAAAAACTAGAGGAATAAGAGTTTTGGAACACTTAGGAACAGTCACAGAAAAAGGATAAGATATAATTGAATGACAAGTAACAAGAGAATGAATTTTAGTAGATGGTACAAGAGATGCTAGCTCTTTAGAGCAGTGCCCATTATAGTATTTGTAGAAAAGAGAAAGAAAAGCAACATGTTGCCCATGCTGAAGCAGATGTGAGATCCTTTTCAAGCTCAAATGCCCCTCCAAGGAATCAGAGAGTCTTGGCTTTTTATCATGACAAGAATAAATGGTAGTATCATCAGCAAACAATGCCACCCTAGGTGTAAGAATATCTGATAGGAAGAAGTCTAATGGGATGGTAGTAAGACAAGTCAGATCGCTCTCCAGAATTTTTGAAAATTTCTGCAAGACTATAGCAGGTATGTTCGGACCACAAGCTGTAGAAAAGTCTAAGCAGGAAATCACTTTAGATACTCTGGCTGGGGTGATATGAATGTCGAGCAATTTATCAACCTGTTTGACGGCAAATAAGGTAGAACATAACTAGTGAAATCAAGAGATGATATTGATGAAAGATCTTTAGGTGAGGTGAAAAAGTCTAAAACATACAAGAGGGGTGGAATAACAGATTCGCTCTTATTATTGATACTATTAAAGATTTTCCAGAAGTCATGAGAGCCTTATTTTTGTGACAAAATACAAAATTTCATGACCTAAGAATCGCGGGCTTTGGCTTAAGCAAAACCTTTTTACAATGGTTTTTAGGAATAGAAAACAGGCGTCTGTTTTCTGGAGAATTTTGCTGATAGATTAGGAAGTAATGGTTTCAATTGAAAATTGCAGAAGCACAATGTGAAGAAAACCATGGAGAAGAGTGAGGCTTGACTTGGAATCGATGAGAGGGAATAAAAGATTACATGCCAGGCTGAATCCACAAAGTTATGTAAGAAGCACATTTTTCAGCAGGAATATAAAAGATTTCTAATTAAGGGCGAAGAATATTATTTAAAGATTAAATTTAAATTAATTATTGATTAAATTAGTTGTAAGAGGTACAATGGTAGGATATTCTGTTAATGAAGAAGAATGAGATAATAGTTTTAGCAGGGATTATCTTTTTCCAAATATTTCCAGAATTCCTGATATTTTTCTCAACTTGTAGTTTTTCCAAATATCCAAAACGTTTTCCATACATACAAGTTTATGTGTACATTTTTGTAATATATTTGCTTTTTAAGCTTTTTCACTTATCACTCATGCAAAAATTAAGAAAATTTTTGAAAAAATATTGGAAACAACTCAGCTAAAAGCAAAGTTAAGAAAAAAATTAAGAGAAATTATGTTCCGGATTTTTTTTTACACATATTATACCCAAACAATTTTCCGGATTTTAAAAATATGACCTGGATGATCTATGTTTTAGAGAGATCAAACCTTGATCAGAAGCACCTAAGGGTGAATGTGGCAACAACAATATTGGCTGATGGATAAAGAGAGAGGGCTTGGTAAATATGATCAAAAATAACATCAAGAAGAATGCAGTCTTGAGATGAAAGACAGCAATATAGAACAAAGAGAAAGGTGATAGAGTGAAGTAGTGCTAAAGAAAAGCACATAAAAGAATAGTTTAGGAATTCAAACCTAGTTTCCTGACAAATGGCTGAATTCTTACGAATGTAAATGCCCAGGCCAAGCATGTGGCTATTGGAGTCTTTATGAATTATGATAATCATCAACAATATGATCACAAGATAAGACAGCTGAACTTAAAATAATCTCACAAAGACAAAGTAGGTCTGGTGAACTTTGCAAGAGATAAGACTCAACAGAAGAAAAGTTACTTCGAAGACCACAAATATCAGTGAATGGTAGCTTCGAAGACCACGAATATCAGTGAATGTTAGAGAACTTGGTGATGACAATGGTTTTTTGTATTTTTTTTTTTTTTTGGCTCTTTAGTCATTTATGAATTTGTTAAAGAACTTGACTCAAGGCACGGGTAAAACTTAGTACACTATTTAATAGTTCAAGCAATTGCCTCATTACTATTAATAAACCCTAAGCCAATGTGGCCTATTCTAATGTGGCCTCAACAATACACACCAAAAGTACGAACAGGGACACCTTCAATGTGCAACATGGTACTGTTAGTACTCTGATATTTTATATCTGTTGAGTTAGGGTTAGGGTTAAGGTCTGTGGTAGCTCTCAGCCTCTCTGAGAGCTACCACAGAGTTCAGGAAACTTGACTACCAGCCGGCCTTAGAACCATAAAACTGAGTTTTAGTGCTGTACCCTCATTAGGTGATAATAGAATGAGTTGCTTAGTCATAAAAACAGAGACTCAAGCAAATTCCATGCATTGAATCCTGAAGATCCAGTTTTCAACATCCTAAACTGGAAACAATGTATTATAAATACATTTGTGCCAGCCTAATAGATGAAGAAGTGGTTCGAATTATTCTGCTTACAAGACAGGAGCTGGATGAAGTTAACATCTGCCCAAGATGAGTATTTTTATTGAAGCAACATCTCTAGTTGTCATCTAGTATTCATCTGTAGTAACCACCTCTAATTATCCTAGACACCATCTCTAGTGTCATGTAGTTGTCATCTTGTATTCAAAGTATTTAACCTAATTAGCAAATTAACATTAATAAATTAAATTTATTTTGTGTAAATATGATACCTTTGATTGGATTGGTATAATAGATGAAATTAATAATATTGAGCAAGATGTTACAGTAACATTTATGGATGTTACAGTAACATCCTTTTAACATTCTTTTCTTGCTATCTATAGCTGATAGTTCCAATTACCCACATAAATTGTATCATTGATGCACCTGCAACAACAACTGGTATACTTTGACAGTTGACATGTCTTAGCAAATCTTAACACATTTTGACACTTTATATTTTTATATTTAACTTTATATTTTTGTATTTTACTTTGTATTTTTGAATTTTACTTTGTAATTAATTCAAACAGTTCAAGTATAAACGAAAAAATTTTTTGAAGAAAATATTTTTAAAGTTAATTTTAAATTATTGAAAATGCAAAAAAAAAAATTTTTGTAAGAAAAGTAGTGAAACATGGCCCCAGTGCCCTGGGCCATGGACTCTCTGTTTGTCTGCCCTGGAAATAATTTTAACACCCATTCATCAGGATTACACAAATGCTGAAAGTTTCAGAGCTCCAATTTGTCTGAAAGGTAGTGAAAAATCTATCACAAAATACCACGACAAATAAATGGGGCACTTGCCCTAGTCTCCTTAATGTCTAAGGGCCCTAAAAACAATTTTAGCACGCACATTTATTCATACTACTGAAATGCAAAAGTTTTTAGAGTTCTAGCTAGTCTAAAAGGTAGTAAAAAATCAATTTCAATATTCTGCTACAAAAAAATGGAGACCATGCCCATCTATATATGGAAATCCATATATTTGCAGATCAAAATCTTTATATTTTTTGAAAGATCAATGAATATAGAATAATGTAATATTTATTTTTTGATATCATAAAGACCTCATGGGTTTCTTGAGCACTAAAAACAGCTATGTAAAAAATTGCCTAAATTTATTTAAATTGATAATTACAGGTACCTAATAATAATTTTATATACTTCTGATCATTTGATTCGTCAGCACCAAAAATTACAAGTTGATGTTCATTATTTGCTTTTTATAAAGAAATTATATACTACAAGTTATGGGCAGTTATATACTACAAGTTATGGGCAGTTATATACTACAAGTTATGGGCAGTTATGACAGTTATTACATGTTGACAAAATAGGAGTTAGTCTTCATGGTAATCTATGAAAGATTGATGACCTGAAAATCATTCATTTATTTACTTATTTTTTGCATTTAAGATGTCAAGAAGATGCATTTCAGGAAACACACTTGTTTCCTGAAATGCATCTTCTTGACATCTGGTTTTTTCTTATCTTTGCAAATATTTATCTTGTAATTGTTACCTCAGAATTTTTACTATAAATGTCACAGAATTTTTACTATAAATGTCACAGTGCAGTGCTTTATTTAGGTTAAAAAGACTTTTTGCACCCAGAATAAAAAGTTAGACAAAATGTCTTTCCATACAAACAATAAAAAAAAGTGTAACAGTATTTAAAAAAATCATCTGTTTTGCAAAACATGGGTTTGTGCATGTATTGTTTATTTGTTGTTGTTTTTTTTGTCAATTTTATCTCTTTCAAATTTTGTAATAATTTTTCATTTACATTTAATAAAAAAAATTTATTTAAAAAAAAAATATTAATCAAAGATAAACATAAAAATTCTTTGTATTTGTTTTTTAATTATAAATTTAAAAATTGAAGCATTTATTATTCTTAGTCATTATTTTAATATTTTTTTAGCCAAAGAATTTGATGTGGCACGTATACTGTTACTTGGAGCTTGTGCGTTTTTAATTATATCTACTTTCTTAAGTTATGGTTCACTTTGTTTCTTCAAAAATGTCTATCTGGCTATAATCTTGTTAAATGTTTTGGCTTGTATGTTTTTTTATTTTTAATATATTTTTTTTCATTTTGATAAAATTTTTTAGAAGAAAATAATTTAAAATAAAATAAAATATTTGAGAAAAAAAATTTTAATTTTACAGAACATTTATCCAAGTTTTGCATAACTGAAGCCCTTTGAAATTTCTACTTCTGTATTGCATTATCTGTGATGTTTTAAGAGTGTGTGTGTCTATATATATATATATATATATATATATATATATATATATATATATATATATATATATATATATATATATATATATATATATATATACATATATACAATCCTCGGAATTAGGGTCGTTAATTAGGTCGGCATTCTGGAATGCCGACCTAACTGCTGACCTGAATGTGTTTGCAGTTGGCAAAAAAAATTTGGTTTTGCCAACCTCGTTACGCTATTTTATGGTAAGACCTTTGATTTTGACAACCTTATGCTGACCAATAAAAGATTGAGGTCGGCAAATTATGCCGACCTCAATTTTCCTCATTCTGAGGGTTGATATATATATATATATATATATATATATATATATATATATATATATATATATATATATATATATATATATATATATATATATATATATATATATATATATATATATAGATGGATAGATAGATAGATAGATATATATATATATAGATATAGATATAGATATAGATATATAGATATAGATATAGATATAGATATATATATATATATATATATATATATATATATATAGTGAGGCGAGATGCAGCGGGATGCCATCCCTTCACCTTTTTATAGAGTATAAATCATCCCGCCACCTTATAAATCATCGATGTAGCAGCACTCCACTGCGAGTCAGGCTATTTGTCAGTGATGTATGTACTGAAGCCCCCAGCAGCAGGCTATTTCAGTATGGCGTCAGATTGCTTACCTTAGTACGCAATACTATTTGTATATATATATATTATATATATATATATATATATATATATATATATATATATATATATATATATATATATATATATATATATATATATATATATATATATATATATATATATATATATAGGCCTTGGTAGGAAGCCCACACTCCCCTAAAACGGTTTACAGGAGCAATTTATGGCTCTCGCAAAAGTATAATTTTTTTTACAAAAGAATAATTATTGTTGTAATTAAAACAAAAAACACAATGTCATTTATTAAAAAACTTATTAAATATTATACTGCAATGCTTTTTAAAAAGCAGGGTTGTTGAAAGAAAAAAATTAAAGTTAAAAAGAGTGCTGATTTATATGAGAAGCTCGCACAGCTCCCCGATTTCATTTTAGGAGATGCGGACCTCAAGCAATTTTAAGAATACTTTTTTATAATTTAGCAGACCCAGGTTGCTGCCAAATTATAAAAAAGTATTTGTTTTAAGAATAGGTAATTAGGCTCTTTTAGTTGTAGTTTTTACTTTCAAAAACAATTTCAAGGAGTCAAGTATCAAGTTAAGAGGCTCTTTTCAGATGTTATGTTCGACATCATGTCCGACCTGCATTAGGAGTTTAATATAAGCGTGTGTAAAAACAGTTTATTGCACTGTCAACAGTGTAATAAACTACAACAGTGTCAACATCTATAACTTGATGCCTTTCTTAATAGAAGAAATTCTAGAAAGTTGCAATAATGACATCATTCTACCAAAGCACCATCATTCTCCAGCTCACACAATGAACTTGCCAGATTGTAAGAATACCGATAGATTGTATAATAGAAGTGCTATGTTTGAGTTTGAATTCCAAGCCATTAAATCCAGCTGCAAAAACTTGTGGGATATGGAATGCCTTAAATAGGCGGACTGTGATTGCGAATGACTTCAAGGCAGCTCTGATGTTGGTAACACCAGCAACCACGAGTTTGAAGCCAATGTACAATGTGTTCAAATACTTAACAATCAAAGAGCATAACATTCTAAGTTTTTTTTGGTAAGATTTGATGATTTTTCAAAACTGGTTTTTACAATAAATTTAATACATTCAAAAACAGGTTTTTAATTAAATGCTACAATAAGGACCAGATTTATCTATAGGTCAACAAAGACGCGACTAAGGGCTTTACAATTCTAGTGGCCTCAAAGAGGGTTTTAAATATATTTTCTAGGTTTTTTAGAGAGTTATTATTTAAAAATATTCATTTACTTTTCCACAACAATAATAATTTTTTTAATTTTAATAATGATTTAATTATTTTTTTAATGAAAATTTGAAAATTGTTTAAAACCCTTTCTTTCTTTTTTTTTGAATTTTGGAATTAGAAAAGTTTTTTGTTGATTTTGTTTAATCCCTATTTTGGCAAATATAAATATAACAATCTAAAACTCTATTCACATTTGAAAGGTGTTTCCATTCTTATACGTATCCCTACTACAAGTTGTCAGTTGTCAGCTACATCTGCCATGAATATACCACAGTGGGCAATGCAACAGATGGAGTAAAAAGATGCATGATTAAAAAACCAAGATAAAATGTTAAAGCCAAAATGAAATGTTAAACCAAATAATATACATAATTAAAAAAAAATTAAAAATAAATCAATATATTATTAATAAAAAATATAATTTTTTAAGTTTCTGTTTGAATGAAATCAAAATTTTGTAATTTGTTCAAGATAATGACCTCAGTAAGAAAAAAACAACTGGTCTTTGCTTTTATGGCAAAAAGGGACAGTAAGATTGTTATTAATTCGAAGATTATATTTGTTTTTAGGTTTCATACAATAAAGATTTTGTAATACATTTGACAACAAATTTTCTCTACATTTAAACATGATGCATAAAACGTTTTGCGCATAATCAACACCAAAAATTTAGATTTTGCGCAAGAATCCAATAAAATTCACTGAATGCTGGGGACATTAATAAAAGTTACAATTTGCTCATAAAAAATTTGCAACACTAAGGAAATTTAAAATACGGGTAAAACATGTCTTTGAGTTGGTTGAATCCGAAGAAACAGGTTGAAGGTTGAACAGGTTGAAGGTTGAACAGGTTGAAGACTTAATTAAATTAAATGACTAAAAACTTTAATGATGTTTTCATGTCTACCTTAAAAACTATGGGAGTAATAACCCTAAAAAGTATGTCCAGATTTTTAGTAACCACCCGTTATATATAATTAATAATTATAAAATAGTGATGATAATAATAAAAATAGTATTTATTGTAATAAACATAAAAACTACAATAATAAAACAACAAAAACAGTAACAATACATATAACAATACAATATTAGTAATAACAATAATAATATTAATAGTATTAAAAATAATAATAATAATAATAATAATAAGTCACTTGTTTTTATAAACAGAATACCTAGCTATACAAAGTTGGCAACATTAAACTAAAAAAAAGTACATACCATTGCAAACTACGCGCTAAAACAATATGAACTATTCACTAATTTACCCAATAAACAATACACAAGAATACAAAAACAAAAAACAACAACAACAACAACAAATAAATAAACAAACAAACAATGCAAACAGCACACAAAATTTATAAAAATTATAAAAAATAAGTAAAAAAATTAAAATTAAAAAAAAAGTTTTTTTTCTTTTTTCGTTGGTAGTAAAATTCGTTATCATTTTTTTATTTTTTTCCATTTTCGAACATTTTTAAACTTTTAACTTTGTATTTAGTTTTTTTGTAGTTTTTGTTTTTTTCTGTTCTTTTTTCTCCTAAGTCATTTTATCTATTTATATTATTTAATCTTGTTTTTATATTTTTTATTGCTGCTTTTTTATTTGACTTTTTTTTTAAATAATAATTTTTGATTTTCCTTATCTTCATTTTCTTATTTTTTTCCTTTTCACCGTTAAAAACCACCTCCAATCAATCAATCAATCATATATATATTCTGAAAATTAATATATCTTCTGAAAATTAATTTCATGGATATTTACAAATAGTAATTCTACTAATCTTAAGTAAACACCAAAAATACAGATCTTTATATATATAATTAGTAATAATTATAAGATAATAATAAAAATAATATTTATAGTAATAAACATATGAACCACAGTAATAATAATAGTAAAAAAAACAATAACAATTATAATAGTAATTGTAATAACGATAATAATCGAAATTATAAGTCACATGTTATTCATAAACACAATAGCTAAATATATATATATATGAGTTAGTTACAAACAGTTGACTGAAAAAACGTAACAACTAACAAGGACATAAAACAGTTATTTAAATTGAAAATAATAAAATAGGAATAATAATAGTAAAGTTAAAAGTAATAATAGTTGTTGTTACGATAAATATTTAAAATTACTAGTAATAATACTATAACAAAAAACATAACAAAAATATGATAAAAATTGAAGAAAAAATGAAGAAAAACAAAAAAGCATTAAAAAAATGAGAAAGTTCAATATTGTTACATACATACACAAACATAAATATAAAGATATAAACACATACTTACCCACATGCATAGATACACACATATTTGCACATAAATACACACGCGCGCGTACATACACTCACATACATATGTATATGTGTATACATACACATATATATGTGTATGTATACATATGTATGTGAGTGTACCTATATATATAGATACATATACATATATAGTTTTAAAATATATACATTTTATATACAACTTTAAAAATATACATTTAAAAAAAATGTCTTACCAACGTAAAACTAAAAAAAAAAAAAAAAAAAAAAAACCGACGCAAACAACGCATTAAAACATACAACAATATCAACTATACACTAACAAAAAACAAAAAACAACAACAAAACAAACGTCCCTCAAAATAAATAAAATAAAATTTTTTTTTTTCGTATCTTCCAAAATCGAGCGATTTCTATATTTTATTTTAATTCTTTATAATTACTTTCCATTTTCGAATGTTTTTTTCTTTTAACTTTGGTTTTTTGTCTTTTATTTTTCTTTTCTCGTTTCTTTTTATGTTTGTTTTTTCTTTTGTTGATTTGTTTGATTTGGTTTTTAATTTTTTTTTTGTTTCTTGCTTATTCATTTTTTTTAGTTTCTTGCTTATTCATTTCTTTCTTTTTCTTTTCTTCATTCTCTTTATTTTTATTTTATTTATTTTTCTTATTTTATTCTTTTTCTTTCTTCTTTGTTTTTTTTTTTTTTGTTTTTTTTTTTTTATTATTATTTATTTATAAAATCGTTATTAAAAAGCATACGCCATTGCGGAAGTCTCTGCGCTCCAATAGAGTCCTTCGCCATTTGCGATGTCATTGCAAAGAGTCTAATAATCAATTGACACCTCCTCACTCTTTAATAATATTGCTAACGATAAATTTTCAATTACTATGCAACTATGTTTTATTTTTCACTATATTAATTTTAAATAATATATTGGATTTTTATTTTATTTTATAGTTATACTTTCGTTGATTGGATTGAGTCTTTACACACATCATCATAGTAATTCGTCGTTTAAATGGAGCTTTGGGTTAAGCTGGGCTGGCTGTTTGTCCATTGGAGTTGTTATACTACTTATGTGTCTAGGAGATTTTTGTTATGAAAACAATAAATCTGATCCAGAATAAATTCTTTTAGCGGAGCATTAATGAAAGCATTTTTTTTTTTGTAATATAAATGAGATCACAAAAGGTGTATCACTATTGATTTGACCAATCATTGATTACTATTGGTTTGACCAATCATTGATTACTATTGGTTTGACCAATCATTAAATTTGACTAGTTTTAAATAGTTTTTCAAAATTAAATTTAAAAAATAATCATATTGCAGAATTAAATATAAATAAAAATAAAATTTTGAACGATTTTTGTAAATTTTTTTCGTGGTAGATGCTCTATTTATTTAAATTTATTCTATTTTTATTTATGGTTTAAATTTATTTATATCTTGTTTTAAATTTATTTATATCTTTTTACGAATTAGTTTTTTTTATATCTTGTGTTAGCATTTTTTGTGTTTTTTGTTAACTTTTGTATTATTATTTTTTTAAGTTTATAAATATTTTTTTGCCAGATTTTCTATGTATTTATTATAAAATTCTTTAAAGATTTTATTACTTTCAATGAAAAACTTTTTACTTAAACCTAAGGAAATCAACACAATAAGACTGGATAAAAATATGTGAACCTTTTTGAACCTTTTTAATAAATTTATCTCAATACTTTTTAAAATCTGAGAGCTGAAAAATATTACAAGGTAACAAGGTAGACCTTGTTACCTGGTAACAAGGTAGACCTTGTTACCTGGTAACAAGGTAGACCTTGTTACCTGGTAACAAGGTAGACCTTGTTACCTGGTAACCTTGAAAATACAGCTTAGGATTAACTTGATAGGAAAAAATAGTTTAATGGTCGAACTTATATGATGATCATTGTACCCACGCCCATTTATGAAAACGCAAAAACATTAATTTATTATTTTTATCTAAATCTGTTAACGTTGTGCAATCTATAATAATCTTATTGTATCTCTAACGTATGCAATATTTGTCTTTTATAAGAAAAAAAAATAACAGTGACGGTGCAACCTATCAAATGCAATACCGAATTTCCTGTTCCTATAAAGTATGTACGTAATCAGTAAGACAGATCAGCATAACCGTACGCTCGACTAGGTTGTAAAACTATTGAGGTTTAATTATTAAGGTGCTCCCAGACGACATGACGGTTTTATCACAGAACACCGCGGAAGTACGCTTCCTACCTATGTCGCTTAATTAGCCGGTGGCACCATCGAATATCAAGGTTCTGAGTCAAAACTCTGACTACTGCGCCATGGCTGCTTAACCACTAAAAAAATCTTTTTCCTTTTGTGTTTTTTGTTTTAACCAACTTTAGTTCTTTCCTTTTTGTTTCTTTTTATTTTTTTTTTTTTACAAATCTTATCAATTTATTTATTACTTTTCATTTTCCAGTTTTTTTTCAAATATTTAAAAATATAAAAAAAACTTTTTTAAAGTAACATTTTAAAAATGGACTAAAAAGTAAAAAATAAACTATTTCACGGAACCCAAGGACTTTGTTTACGTCCACATCATGAAATATCCAAGTCAATGGCTGAACATTTTCTGTCATTGACTTTAATGGGTATTTCAGGATGTGTACGTACACAATGTCCTTGGATCCCGTGAAATAGTTTACTTTTTAGTCCATTTTTAAAATGTTGTTTTGAAAAAGTTTTTTTTCAAAACAACATTTTTTGAAAAGAAATTGACTGAAAAAATCATTAAATTTTTTTTTATTATTGTTTTGTATTTCATGGCTTTTTGTTGAACTTGCTCAAGTCTGGCTATATCTTGAGCAGTTGTGGCACGGTGGTAGCGTATTTGCCTTAGAAACAAAGGATACGTGGTTCAAATCCCACCTTTGGGATAGTTTTTTGAAATCGGTTAGGAAGGAGGCGTGAACTTTCTATTAAATGCTCATCTGCGGTGCTCTGTGATAAAACCGTAAGGATTTCTTGAGGCTAAAATAAAAACATTCTAAATAAAAGTTTAAAAAAAAAATCAAAAATATATGGTGACCAGACTTATACTGCGAATTCTAAGTATGAGCAAACATATGAAAATAAAATTAGTAAAAACATTATCTAAATATTTTCTGCAGTCTGTTTCCCCTTCAGCAGCTTCGTGATGAGCCTGCTGAACGGGAAACAGGCTGTTGAAGATATTTAGATAAGTGTTTTTTTAAATTTATTATTGCTGTTCTTAAAAAAAATTAAGCACTCTATGATATGATCTTCAGTGAAGTTGTTAAGCAGACTGGAATTCATTTTCGAATAGTTGGCAACATAACATTAAAAAGTATAAATTGAATGGAGCTACAACTGGTATATTTTTTTGTGGTTATTAAGGTACTCCCGGAAGTTCTTACGGTCTTATCACAGAACATAGAAAAATGTAATATCAAAGAGCACAATTGAAAAGAATTTAACTAGGAAGTTCACGCCTTCTTCCTTTTCAATATTGTTTATTGAGCTAGAATCAACGTTGAACCTCGGACCTCTTGGTTCTGAGCCAGAACTCTAACCATTGCACCACGGCTGCATAAGCCTAGAATAGGCCATAGAAGAAAAAAAATCTACCACCATTTATTGAAACAATATTTTACAAGTCAAAACCAATTTGAAGCTGCTCAAAAGATTGCCAACAAAGTTCAAAACAACAACAATAGACTATGACAACAACAACAACAACAACAATAGACTCTATGACAACAACAACAACAATAGACTCTATGACATTTTCATATGTCGTAGAGTCTATTTGACTCTACGAAATATGAAACAAAATATGAAAGAAAGATTACTGTTTGCAAAAATATACGTGTAATTACCTATCGAATACTGGAAGAAAGTAATTTGGAGTTTTTTTTCCATTTTATAAAATTTTCACTTATAACAAAAAACAACTTAAAATGATTATTAATTTTAATTAAGACTACATGGTTACATTCGAACTTTTCTATTAAAATCCAGAAAAAATAAATTCTATAGCAAAATGGATGCCTCGACGTATGCAAGCAGTTACCCTGGTAGAGAGTGACTCAACTAAATATCAAAATGTAATTTGTTTAAATGATAATTTTATTATTATTTTTTTTTTTGCGAGAAATTTTGCTTAAACATAAGCACAGTTAATTTTTTGAAGTCATTTGAGTATTAAACAAAATATAAACATTTGAATATTTAATTGAAAATTGAATGCAATTCTATAATTGCAATGCTATTTTTTCAAAGTTAAAAGTAAACTATGTAATTATAATAAATATTATAGTACTAACATTTATTATAGTATTAACATTATGAAAGAAATAATCGGGAAAAAAAACAAAAATACAAATAGTTTACCAGATAGAATCATTATAAATGAAACCGAACACGATGATAAGAACTCAATTGCCAAACACTTATAAACATTTATAAAAAATTTATATAAATTATATGAAATTTATATTCATAATAATAATACAAATATATTATTATATGTCTATATATATTTATATATATACATATATATATATCAATATATATATAATTTAAATATTATATAAACTATATATACTGTTGTTTAAACATATTTACGCTAAATGCCTCCAAAAGCCGACAATTCTGAGTTGAATAACAAGTATGAGACGCTTCTAAAGCAAGTAGAAGCGTTATCAAAAACAGTTGTTGAACAAACATCGACGATCATCGCCCTCACAAAGCGAATCCAACAACTTGAGGAAAAACCTATTGCTTCCTCAACTACAACGGAAACATGGAACTTTGTGGTCGGAAAAAAATCAACTAATACGCCAGCTCAACTAGATATGCTTAATTGTGTAGCTAATGAGAACAAAGATAGAATGAAGCGTGACAAAAATCTTATCGTCTTTGGCATTCCAGCATCGACTAAAAATGAACCTAACGAGAAGCAAGTAGACGATGAGAACAAAATAAAAGAGCTTCTAACCAACGTTAAAATTAATTCGGACAACATAATAAAATGTTTTCGCTTACGGTCAAAAGATCCGAATAAACCTCCACCTATTATAGTTGAGACGACAGACACTGTCACCAGAAATAATATTGTTAAAGCAGCCCGGCGTAAATTTGAAGGCATCTATGTTAATCCAGATCTGACAGAAGCACAAAGAAGGCAAGATAGACAATTACGAGACGAGTTGAAAAAGAAAAACGAGCCTCTTAATTTAAAAAACAACTGGGCAAAGACAAGTCATTACAACGTTATTCGCAATAATGCTGTAGTTAAAGTAGACAAATAGCAATCAACAGTAAGTAATTTAAAACCATATAATGACAATTTAAATATAAACGAAATTTCTTTAGAGCGAATTTCATTTTCAACTATTAGTCTACTACAACAGTCAGCTTTCCATAAAATACCATGCTGTTATACCAATGCTACACCTCTTAAAAATAAAATGCCAGAGTTTCTAGCATCAATTGAGACATACAACCCTAAAATAATCTTTGTTACAGAAACTTGGTGGCATGAATCATCGATAACTAACGTTGAAAACTATATGTTATTCAGAAAAGATCGCGTGTCCAGTAGAGGAGGTGGGGTGGCTATTTATGTCGACACTTCATTAAAACCTAATGAAGTAAGCGAAATTGTTTTATTAGATTCCCCTGAACAAATTTGGTGCGAAATATCGTACGGTTCCAAACACATCCTTCTGGGTTGTATATACAGGCCACACACGCTAGATCCACTCGAGAATATTGAAGCGTCCATTATTAAAGCGAATGAACTTCTGTCTAAAATATACAGCGGCTTGTTGATTTGTGGAGACTTTAATTTGCCAGGGATTAACTGGGATTTGAGCAGTATCCCAACTGTCAGCAACACAGATATCCTTTCAAGTAATTTTATTGACATCCTCGCCGAGTCGTTTTTGATACAATTTGTTACTAAGCCCACTTTTCAACTTGATGAAATTACATCGAACAATACTCTTGATCTAATTATAGCCGAAAATGAAAATCGGGTCCTCGATATTATTCACCATGCACCTTTAACGTCTCTGAAGAAATCTCACCACGTCCTTCAATGGGATTACGTTGTTAAAAGCGCTGCAGTTGTAGGAAAACACATTGAAAAACGCGTTTATCATAAAAGTAACTTTGTAAAGATATCCGAATATTTTAACAATATCAACTGGCAAATGGAATTCAATGGACACAATACTGATGACTGTTATAACATTTTCCTGAACCACTACGAGGCTGCATGCAAATATTATGTCCCAGTGACTAACTTAAAATGGATTCGTCGTCGAAGTGAATGGATGAATGATGACATCAAAAATAAAATAAAAGCTAAAAATAAACTATGGTTTCGATGTAGAGCGAATGGATATAAAAATCTTAAACTAGTCAACGAATACAAAGCGTGTAATATTCAATTGAAGAAGCTCATATATAAAGCTCGTTGTGAGTTTGAACTTGATTTAGCGATAAAATTGAAGCACAACCCAAAGATCCTGTTCAAGTATGTTAATAGTAAACAAAATGTTAGAACTACAATAACAGCCTTAAAAGGAATCAATGGCGACACTATCACAAATCCAATAGAAATTGCAAATCGGCTGAACAATCACTTTTAAAGTGTTTTCAACAAAAATGAAGACGATGAACTGCCATATTTTATAAAACGAACTGAAGCCATCTGCAAATACTCGCAAATAACGCTAGATCTGGTTAAAAACAAGCTGAGCAATTTATCAGTTGACAAAACCGTTGGTTTGGATGTTGTAAGCGCATATGTACTGAAGAACTGTTCTGACAGCTTCTCAATACCTTTAAGCGCAATTTTTAAGAAGTCGCTAGATAGTGGGTGTTGTCCTAAAGTATGGAAAAAAGCTAATGTAACACCACTGTTTAAAAATGGAAGTAGACTCGACCCAGGCAATTACCGGCCTATATCCTTAACATCAGTTGTATGTAAAGTGATGGAGAGAATATTACGTGACACTATGGTCAATCATTTAGTCGAACATAGCCTTATTTCAAAAAATCAACATGGTTTTGTCAATAAAAAAGCATGTGTGACTAATTTGTTGGAGTCGATTGACATGATGTCAAAAGCATTATCTGACAAGATATCTATGGACGTAGCTTTTATAGATTTCAGTAAAGCATTCGATATGGTTTCCCACAAGAGACTAATTTACAAACTTGAGGCATATGGTTTTACTGGAAATCTCTGAATTGGATAAAATCGTTTTTACACCAGCGTTTTCAACGAATCGTGATGGGCGATTATGTTTCCTCGTGGCTTGAGGTATTTAGTGGCGTCCCTCAAGGATCCGTATTAGGTCCAATACTTTTTATCATTTTTGTGAACGATATATCCGATATTGTTAACCATCCATGTAAAATGTATGCTGATGACACTAAACTGCTGGCCCGTTTAGACCACCCATTAGCTTCACAAATGCTTCAAACTGATATCTACAACATAGCCGATTGGTGTAATACCTGGAAAATGAAACTTAATCTCGATAAATGTAAAATCATGCACATAGGTAAAAAAAACAACTTTTATGTCTACTTAATGCCAGCTAATAACAATAACAGTGTCGAACTTGCATCAACTTTAGTCGAACGTGATTTAGGCATCATGATTACACCAGACTTAAAATGGCATAACAATTCAACTTTTGCCACCAATAAAGTTAACCGTGTATTAGGCATGTTGTATCGTACTTTCAGTCACATGACTCCGCAACTACTTAAAATTCTATATACAACTTTTGTACGACCTCATCTGGAATTTGCGGTAGCAGCCAGCAATCCATCATCAAGAATAGATATTGACAAAATCGAGAAAGTACAAAGAAGAGCTACCCGTTTAATACCTTCGTACCGTCATATGTCATACAAAGATCGTCTGAATATACTGAACTTAACGTCCTTAGAAACCCGTCGCATTAGGGGAGATCTGATACAGGCCTATAAAATTATTAACAATATAGACATTGTCTCATGGAGTGAACCCCATGTCCTTCGTGTTGGGCAGTCAAATAAAATAAAAACTAGAGGACATCATCTAAAAATGACTAGAGAATATGTTAAAAACTGTGAGCAAAGGCACCAGTTTTTTACTAATCGAATAGTGAATCATTGGAATGCATTGCCGTCAGAAGTTGTATGTGCTTCATCAGTTAACAGTTTCAAGGCTAAGCTTGATGCAGAAATTTCAAATAATCCGCATAAGTATCGAGATTATAACTGAAAAAAAAAAAAAAAAAAAAAAAAAAAAAAAAACAATAAAGGAAAAACAATAAAGTACAAACTTATACTTTATACTATATATCTTATTGTAAATTTATATATATATTGATATGAATAAAATTAATGTATGAAGCAGATAAGGCTGCCAAAACCTGTAGGTTATACAGAGAAACCTGTTGCAGCAATTTCTCTACTACTACTACTTTAACAATTTCTTTGCAAACATAGGCCCAAACATGGCGTCTAAAATTTTAACTACAAATGACTCCTTTGAAAATTACCTTACAGATCTAAATAGCGAACTAATTTTCAATGGATTAAGCTATGAAGAACTTGAAAATGCAAAAAACTCTTTAAAAATTAACAAAGCACCACAAGCACAAGAATTGATGAAATTTGTAGCAATATAGCAATAAATATCTTTCCGATAATAAAAAAACCCCTCTTCGAAATATTTAAATCTTCAATTATAACAGGAACCGTTCCAGAGAAATTAAAAATTGCAAAAATTGTACCTATATATAAAACTGGAGAACCATATTTACTAAACAACTATAGACCAATCTCAATCTTTCCTGTATTCTCAAAACTTCTTGAACGAATAATTTATAATAAACTGTACATATATTTAACAAACAATAACATCTTAAATAAAAAACAGCTTAGATTTCAAAAACAACTCGCAACCAAGCATGCAATCATAGATCTTGTAAATAGCATCAACAACTCATTTGATAATAATGAATTTGTTCTAGGAATCTTTATAGATCTATCAAAAGCATTCGATACTGTTGATGATGAAATCCTGCTCAAAAAAATGGAAAAATATGGCGTAAAAAATGTTGCATTACTCTGGTTTAAAAACTTTTTGCTAAACAGACGACAATGTGTAAATACTGATGAAAATATCTGTTCAAAAATGCTAAAGATCAAATGTGGCGTTCCCCCAAGGTTTCATTCTAACTGTTTTTTAATGTTTTACTTATCCTTACTGTTTTTAATCTCTAAATATGAATACTGTAAAAATTCAATGTTCAATGTCGTTTCGCTTTCGTTTTTAAAGCAGTTTTAATTAGTTACTAGGCTTTTCTGAACTTGAAACAGCGCGTTCTCAAAATGCACGCGGTTATAAGAGGAAGATCTTTCAACCGAGTTAAAACTTTTTACCTTTAGAATTGAATTAATATTAAGATTAGTTTAGAAACATTACATAAAGAATCATATTAAGATAAATAATCATCGTTAAGATCATATTATAATAATCATCGTTAAGATCATATAAGCATTGAAAATAGTTTCGCAATTTATATATAATATTTTTTATTAAAAATAAAATAAAAAGGATCACTCCTTTTAATTTTTTAAATCGTTTACATTTTGTTTGTTTTAGTTTTTCTTTTGGCTTTATTTTTTTTTAGCAGTTTTTATTGAGCATATCTTCTATTTTTTAAAAGGAAGATAGAGGTAAGGATGAGGTCTAATTATTTTTTTATGCAACAAAAAAGTTATACTAATGCAACAAAAAAGTTATACTAATTTCAATAAAATTGGTTATTACTACCATGAAATTTTTGTGATGCTATTAACTGCTTTTGCTCTTTTTTAGAAAATTTAGAAAAATAAATTGAAATTTCGTGCCACTACTGACATGTCACATATTATTGTATGTAAAGATTAAATTTTTGTTATGAGAACTACAGTTCTTATGAAAGAAAAAGGTAAAGAGTATTGTTTGTATATAAATATTTATATTTTGTTTACTTTAAATCTTTTAAAATTTTTTTATGCCATTTTTAAAATTTTTGTTTGCACAATTCAAGTTATATGTTTATTGTTTGCATTGCTTTTTTGATAATTATGTGTATATTGTAAAATGTGCTTTATAGCACATTTTACAATATACACATAATTATTAAAATTTTATTTTTATCAATGTGTTTTTATAATAATGTAACATGTTTTTTTATTGTTTGTGTATGTGTTAATATAAGTTATATAATTGTTTTATAAAAGTGTATAAATATGTTTATATATGTTTTCAAAGTGCTGTGAATTGGTAAACGTGTTAAGCAAGATTTGTCAACCTTGCCAGCCAAGTCACTTACTGCAAAGGGTTACAAAGCAGTGTTTCGTTTCAAACTGTTACTGCTTTAGGTCTAGGTGTTTTCAAGCCTTTATTAATAATTACTCTGAAAGTACATAATGTATTTTAATAACATTTTGCGTAATGTTGTTACTGATATATGCATATTATATGAACTTATGGTGAATGCTATTGTTGTTGTGATGTTGCTTTTTTGTAATCTTTTGAGTTGATATACATTTGGTTTACCTTCAAGTTGTTGTCTACTGTTAAAAATGATACATAGTTAATTTCATTATTAGACCTCACTGCATTTAATCATTCGCTAAAATTAATATTTAGATTCACTAAAAGCCTACTACTACTACTACTACTCTGGTAAATCACATCAGCTTTATGGTATAGAAGAACAAAATATTGTTAAGTTTAGTGAACTTTTTAAAAATTTTTACTAATATTTTTTTCAAATAAATAATATTGAAGTTTGCTTAAAAGGGTTTTACTACATTTTTTTTTTAATTTTTCTATATTAGGAGTTTTCGTTTTATTACTTTAATGCAAATATCTATTTTTTATTATATTATTATTTTTTCTTTAGATCTAAATTGGAGCAGCTACAGACTATATTGCTCCCAGCACCCAGGACCACTCTGAGAGGTCCTTTAACAAATGTTGCAGTAATAATGGTATGGAATAGCCCTCTTTCAAATGGAGGGCTCATCCATACAGGGGTGCTGGGAAGCACCAAGTAAAAAATAGCAACAAAAAATTTTTTAATATATTCAATCAGTGAAGATATTAACTTTTTTAGTATTAATTTTTTTAATATTAATTTTTTTAATATTAATTTTTTTGTTGCTGTTTTTTCCTTGGTTTTTATTTTCATTAAAAAAATGTATTTATTCTAAATTGTTTGTTTTTATTTTTTTAGTATTTGTTTAGATTATTATTTATAGTTTTTATTACTTTAATTTTTGATTCACAATATTACATGGCTATTATATTGCTTCGAGTATATACCATATCAGTTAATCATTTTTGAAAAAATGTACTGCAGCAATTTATTAATTATAACAAAAATCACATTTAAATTTGTAATATTTTTAAGTTATAATTTTAAACTAATTAGTTGATTTCCAGCAGATTTTATTTCTTTTGATTGTTTTGAATTTAATAATTTAGTGTTTATAGCTTTTAACTTATGTTAAGCTTTAATAAATTTAATCTTCTGATTTTAATGTGTAATAAATAATATAAAATATTGGAAAAAAGATTAAGTAATAAAAAAACAGACAATTAATCTTTGATAAACTTTGTCATGTTGCTTATTATATTGTTGGCATTTCAGTGATGCTGTTAAATTTTTTTTTTCTTTAGAATTTAGAAAAATGAATTAAACTACAACTTTTGAACAGTCATTGTTTGTGAAGGTTAAATTATTTGCATGTTTTTTATACAATTTTTTTATAGAAATAGTATTAAAGTTTACTAAAAGGGGTTTACAAATACTTTACTTTTTATTTTTTGTCTTCTTTTTTTTGTATTAACAGTACCCTTTATCATTAAATTTATTATTATTATTATTTTTTTATTACTATTGGTTAACTTTTTTATTTACATTATATTTATAAGTTTATTTTTTGTTTAAACATCTTTTAACAGATATATTAAAAAAAATGTTTTTATAAAAAACTCACAATATTGTTGTATAATTTGGTTTATTTTAAATGAAAATTTCCTATGTAATGTTTTAAAAATTATTCTTTGTGTGTGTGCAATTTAGAGAAGTAAAAAAAAAATCACAATCTTCAAGATTCTTTTAAGATTTTTTGTTACTACTATCAATTAAAAGTGAAGTTTAAATGGATGATATAAGGCTAGAAGTGGCTA